GATTGTACCAGCCTCCGCCGTGTCTCTTTCTTCTCACAATGCGCAAGTTGCCCGTCCAAAGACATTGGATGTTGTTGCAGCGTTGTCATCATCTCAAGTCATGTTCCTGTGACCAAAATTGAGATGTCGGTGCAGCCGTCACTATCTTGGCATCATCAACGTTGCAATTTGTTGCAAGGGTCATGCTCATCTGAGCAAGGAGCTCAGGCTTACAGGTCGAAGTACGAAAACGAATCCAATGAAGCCAAGTGGACTTGTACACCAGCCCTGGCCGAAAATGGTCCACGAGGCGTCTCCACCAACAGAAACTATTTCGGATATGTTAGGCTATCCGGAAACCAACTCGATACAGGTGCCCCTCAACGTCCTCCCATGGCCCGAGTATGGCAACAAGCATCTTGCAAGCCTGATTTAGGCTCATGAGGCTTGCCAGGGGAACACCGCTCAATGACTCAAGGGTTGCCCTCGGCTGCCTGAAACCTCAAATCTCCAACTTGCTGGTTGGTTTGTGGTAAACTGGCCGTTTGAGGACTTATTGATGGATCAAATCCTGGTAGGTGGTTCATCACGAGATTTGAAAGGTTTCATCCATTCCGACTGATCCGAAGTGGATTTGGGTGCCAGATCCCTCCAGTGCTCATTTGGGTTTGTCTCAAATTAGAACCCCCCCCCTCCAAAGAAAACAACGGAAGAACAAAAACACATAAATAAATTCGATCGTTTTATTTATCTGTTCTCATCAAAACAATCCAGACTTGGTTCAACAAGACACATCCAGTATCATCCAGTTGCTACGCCGATGGCCTAGCAGCAGCGGCTTGGTGCAGTCCATGCGCAAGGGCGCCAGCCATTGGCTGAGCGCCTGCGCCGGAAAGTGCCCAAACTCCCATTTAGGGCCCCCAGTTTCGACCATGGGTAACTTTCCCCATTTGCTGGGAAGTATCATTTTTTGTAGTGGTTTTCCCCAATGGTCATCCCATGTAAGGCAGGCAGGCAGGCAGACAGACACACAAAGACACAAAGAGACACAAACACACAGAGACACAGAGAGACAGAGAGAGACACGGAGAGCCGCAGACAAACGGAGAGAGACATAGCGAAAGACAAAGAGAGAGACACAGCGAGAGAGAGAGAGAGAGAGAGACGAGAGCGAGATAGAGAACGAAAGAAACGGAGGGAGAGACAGAGAGAGAGAGAGGGAGACACGAAGAGAGACACAGAGAAAGACACAGAGAGAGGGAGAGAGGACACAGAGAGAGACACAGTGAGACGCAAAGACACTGACTGACAAACGGGCAGTGACATCATCAATATTTCTGTGGGTCATCCGTACCCAGGAATCCTTTCTTCGGACTGACGTTAGTTAACTTGGAATCCCGCTGAACGAGCTCATTGAGTTCCTTTCGAAACTAGACACATTGTCCTGTGCAAGCCTTCTAGAACCCAAGCTGGATTCCGCTGACTCAACGGGACAAATTTGTTTCAAGGAAGGTCCAGGCATGTCAGGCAGAGGCGAAGCCTGCTGGAACTGCCGACTGTCGAATGGCTCCTGTGCGAGTGCGATCTGACTCCAAAGTTGCCACCTTGCGCACATCTTGACATCTTCCTGGGGTCGCCCAAAAAAAAACGACACACCCATCTTGTGTGAACACTAACCTTGGACCATAGCTACCCCGGCGGTTGGATACGATATGACACAGGGGTGTGAAAAGTGGCGGACCCCCCCCTACAATGAGTTTTCCTTTTGGTTTCCCGGAAGCAGCAGCCGAAAAAATGAAGGTACCCTCAAAATCACAAAAGTCCAGATTTGTCGAATTTGCGAAGACGGGTTGAGTTTACGTCCTGCAGTTGATCAAACCCTGAGCTGGCGCCGCCCATGGCTGCAGCTGAGCTTGCCCTTCGACTTGTGAGGGTGTGAGCTGGGCGCGAGCTGGGTGGCTGCCCTATTCTCAAAGACCCAACTCACTGCGTAGCTTGACAGCCGAAGCCGCTATTCTCGAAACTCCGCAAACAATGGCATGGTTGCCTCGCTGACCTTCATCGCTATCAACTGACCCAAGTAACAGAATCTGCGGATACAAGTAGCGGCAAACACCAACATTGTCAAATCCAGGCGACTCTCAATGGAGTCCGGGCAACCTGGCGCATTTCTTCCGCTTCAATGCCGCTTTGAATCCATACTTGGACCGGCACCTTTCGAGCCGATCCGAGCGGTGAGGCGCCACGAGGCGCCTACTTGGGGTGAGATGTGGGGCACCCTTGCTGAGTCTTACTGAAAATCGCATGCCAAGCACAATTCGAACCTGTTCCGTGCAAAGCGTCAAAAGCAAGTCAAACACGCGCATTGCGTCACGTGTGCAGGAAATGCAGCAAGGATGCCGGTCTATTCAGTGCAGGTGAGTCTTGTCACCCTGAAAGGCCACTGTACGTTGCGTTAATTGCATCTCTTGCTGCACCTGTGCAGCTGGCCCCCTTCTGTGGGAGCATTCACCGGAAAGCCCTCTGGTCCATGGCACCTTGCGCCCTTTGTGGGGGGGGGACTTCACGGCGACGCCCCTAGAGCTGAATCACTCTTTCACTCACCCCGCGCTTGGCTCTTGCGCGCCTCTGGCGCCAGGCTGAAATCTGAGGCGCAAGAAGAAGGCCACGGCTTGCGATGGTAACCCGAACACCGCAAGTGAACTCTATGGAAAAAGGGCATGGCTTGAAGGGACCGCGTCTTTGCGACCAAACAACAAGCCGGCCGCAAGCCGGCCGCAAGCCACACATGCTGCCGTGCGAACCCGACAAGCGTACGGCTGCCTTGACAACCCGTACAAAATACGGCCGTCCTTACCTCCCTCTCCCCCCTCGCCCCAATGGAAAGAAAGCGAAAAACAACATGGAAAAAGAATGGAGATAGACCGGCGTGTTTTCTCTCCCCTCCCCCCTCTGCCTATTTGCCAAGTCACGTTCTTCACCTTCGCCGCCCTCTCGAGCGCTTTCGGCTCGAGCGCCACGCGGGCTGCGAAAATCGCGGCGGGGCGAGGCCTGGGGAGTGGGCGATGCAACTGATTCTTCAGTTGGTCAACATCTGCATTAAGCACCTTTGATGCGAGAGAAACCTGGCCACGACCCAGAAAAGACCTTTGGCGCCACAATCCATTGGACTCCTCGAAGTCAGATTTCTTGTTGGTTGCCGCTGAAATCCCTGATCGATCCGTTTCTGTTTGATCCCAGGTTCATCCCCTGGGCCTAATCGCGGACCCCCTCTCGCTGATGTGAAACCCCTCATGCTTCAGCAACACCCTCGCGACTGCATGCAGCTACCTTGCACGATGCCGGGCTGCGCGCGAGTCCGTCTGAACTCAGGCCTCTCGGCAAAAGCTAGCAAAACTGGCGCGAGGGGCTGACTCTTTGAACAAGCTGCACAACAGTGCATCTTGAACCCAGGCAAGACGTGCGCACGACTTTCACTTGCTGACCTTTGGCTGCGTTCTCTCTTGCACTTGTGCTACAGAGCATGTCCATTCAGGGAAGTGCCGAGTGCGAGAGCTGCCGAGACCAGACAATTGGCAGCTGCATGCTTGGCCAGCCTATTGCGTGATCTTCTTCTGCGCACAGGCTCCGTCTGTTCAAGCACATCGTCGGGGCTGCGGGCTGCATGCGACATCCGCGCCGTTATGACTTCTCCACTTTGGCGATCCACAGCTGCGGCCGCACGTACTGCAAGGGGAAGAGCCCCGAGTGCCCAGTTTTGCACACTCTGCCCAGTGCCCAGCCAGCCCATTTCCCAGTCATCCTCCCGGTGACCACCAGTATGTCCCCCGCTGAGAGCCTGAGGAGCTGATCAAAGCGCGGCCAAGCTGGCTGCGGGACGAAGTCCTGCAGCACCGCCCAGGAGCAAACCACATCGCAGCTGACTTGCTTCAGCCGCTGCTCCAGCACTGTGTGACCCCAAAAGATGGTGGGGTCACTGGATTCCACCACCTGTCGCAAGCACACAAAGTCCCAGGCATCGCAGCTCAGCAACTCGCCCACATTGCGACGGGCGATCGCACTGCGGATCCAAACTTTGCTCCCTGCATCCAGCAATTGCAGGACCTCGCTCATCGGCAAAGAGGAAGCGCACAGCGCGCTAGGAGGCAAGTCCAGCTTTTGCGGTGACTCCACACATCGCGGAGGTCTGCCAGCAAGCTCTTCATGCCACAGGTCCAATCGCTGGCACAATTCCAAGCACAGCAGCTGCAGAAGCATCTGGAATTCAAAGGACGCATCAGGAATGCCGCACAGCGCTGGCAGGAGCGGGTGTCTGTGTCTTCTCTGAAACTCTTCCTGGCCCACAATGACATGCCGGATCTGCCCCCTTTGCAGGGGAAAGGTGGACTGGTGCACACAAGCAACGTAGTGCGCCTTTGCGGCATCGTAGCGCAGGACGTAGGCGGACTGCCCAGCCAAATGCGAAAGTGGCGCCGCCAAGGGCGTTTCCAGCTCCACGACATGGCCGGTTAAGTCGCTGCCACCTCAGATCCATTGGCCATGCGACAAAAAGGGAACCTGTCTTTGGCAGTCGAGTTTGCAAGGGAACCCCTCAAAAAGCCGAAAATCGAGCACATATTTTGTCTAGGTCACTCAAGGAGAAGCCATCAGGCTGCAGCGCTGCGGCCCACAGGCCTCCATGGGTCACCAGGTGCACTGAGAAAAAAACCTCCTCCCTTGGAGAAAAGCAAAGTGCGGGCTCCCAAAGCTGAGAAACCACGATTTGGACCTTCAGAATTCTCGCCAACAAGTACATGTCTACGGAGTCCATGGGCATGCGCACTGCACAACGTGCCCCAGAAATGGAATGTTGGGCGAAGTAGTGGCTGTCCAAGGTCAAGCAGTACAAATACCAGTTCCAGTGCTGCAGCGCTTCCTCCTCCTGATATCTCAGGATTCGAAAAATCGAAAGCTTGCACCTGAGCTTGGCGGCCGCCACCTCAGCCCAGTGGTGGTGGCACAAAAAGGCGCGCCTTTTCTGTTGGTTGGGCATCTCAAGGGAAGCCTCCCCCCCACAAAACCTCGAACAACAAAAACAACTGCAAACAAGTGTTGGCCTCCCCCACACACAAAACCGCCAAACAAAAAAACAACCAACAAAGAAACATGTTCTGGTTGCCACGGGGCCTTAGCTTTGCCTTGAAGGCCCAAGGACTTGTAGGTCTGCACCACCAGGCTCCGCAGCTCTCGCTCCCGCGCGTGACACGCGGAGTGGCCCGATTCACCCTCCGCGTCCGCCATGGCCAATGCCAAGCACAGCCATGGGCACCCCTGGGGGTTTGAAGGTCATTGCATTCAAACACAACAAAACAACTTGTCTGAAGACCCTTCGGGGAATGGAATGCGGGCCCCCTTTTACCCCTTCCAACCAAACAAACAAACAAGAGGTAGCAAATCAAGAAAACACATGCATACACACACACACACCCCTAAAATGGCGGTTCTCTGGCTTTGGTTTCGCTTCAAACCAAAACAGGATACTCTCACACAAATACGACGCCCCACCTCGTCACCATCCACTCGAAGGTGCCACGTGTTTGCCACCCACTCCTTCAGCAGATCAAACTGTACCGTCCGGCCATCCACGCCGCGCTCCTCGAAGCGCTCAAGTTCCATGGCAGAAATGCGGCTACTTCACTGTTGTTGCAAGTCCATGCTGTTACCACTATCAAGCAGGCCAAGTGGAAGGTCTTCAAGAAAGGCCCTAGTTTCAAAATCCTGAATTTGATAAACCCTGGAAATAGTCAAAACAAGAGTTACCATATTGTTCTCCTCATCAGATGGCCGGGGTCCACTTGCGCGTTGAATTTCTTCGAATTGGGTTATGCATGGGACAGCACGTGAGCCAAAGGCTTGCCAGCGAGCTTGGCCACTGAAAAATGGCCGACTGCCGGGACGGCCAAGGGACACCTCCGAAAAGTGCCTAAGGCTTCCTTTTGGCTTCTCTTTGACATCTTAAGGGCGCCCTCGGTACCCTCAAAGGCCACATTTGTTTGAAGAAAACTGCCTGTGATTGAGGCTTACCTGGGACCCAGTTGTGCTGGAGCTAAGTGGGCAGGCCCCAGCCTGTGCGTACTACAAAACAACATCAAACCAAAACAACATGTAGCCCGCTTTGAGAACAGCCTGAGGCTTGAAACACTGCCCTGGATGGATAGTCAAAGCTCATTGCTACTACAGCCTATAGGTGTTAAGGCTCGGCTACGCAGGAGTCCTTGTCGGCTTTGGCTGCTCCGTAGTCTGCTGAGATGTCGCTTGGTTCTAGAACTTAAGGGCTTGCCTTTGCCAAAATGCAAGTCTGTCTCACAAGTGCAGCTTGGGAGAATGTGCTCGGCCCCGAAATAGCTGTTGGCGTTGCTTGCTCAAAAAGGATCTGTCCCCTCACTCATCATGACAGTGAGGATCCCAGATTGGTCTTGTTCTTTCCCAGGTCTGTGCTGTTCGAACACGCCCAGCGCACCTAAGGCGTCCATGGCAAAAATGGGCACCGAAGTCCTGTCGATGCATTGTATGCCGCAAGAATGGCTTGCTGGTACTCAGCAGGGAATAAGAATGACCCTGAACTGATCCATCACCTTATAGTTTCCTTCAAGGGAATCCATTGTTCATTCCCAACCCCAGTCGATTCCCTACTGAGAACCAGAAAATGGCAACGGGCTCCCGCGTGCTTGGAAAGAACATGCGTTAGCCCTCTATTGCTTAAGTTCGTTGGGCTGTTTCTTATCGAAGAGGGTCCTGAGAAAACTCTGGAGCCAACAAAGAAACCCAAAAATGTCAATGCAACCAGCGATGCCCGTAACAAAGCTTCATGCCAGGGCAGCTTTGCCAACATGATTGGCGGGCAACAAAGGCAAAGCATGGCCCGTCCATAGGTGTTCTTGGGGGAAGCGATTATGAAATAACCATGTCAACCTGTCCTGCTGGATGCCTTCTCGAAATGCGACACAACCTCGCTGGCCCGCTGTTTGTTGGCTGGGTGAGACTTGGTACTTGTGCACGCCAACACACAACAGCACCACCACCACCAATTCACCAACAAACCAACCAGGCAGGCAGGCAGCCAGCCAGCCAAGCCAGCCAAGCAGCCAGCCAGCCAGCCAGCATGCAAGCAAGCCAGCATCCAGCCAACCCACCAACCAGCCAACCAAGCAAGCAAGCAACCAATATAATTGACAAACCAACAAAGCAGAAAACAAATCCACAACCGACCGCGCCGTTATGACAACCGCAATTGAGAAACGTCCACCAGATCATGTGCCATGATGAGCCACTGAACTATGCGGTTGCCGTAATGGAAATGGATAATTTCGGGTAAATTGTGAGTCCCCTGCTTTTTTGCTGGAAATTCAGTGAGTCCCTCCATGTCTCTCCCAAATTAGGTGTAGGCTGATATTTTGACCAAAACTCATGTGTACGTTCGGGGCCGCCGGCATCCCGCACACTTCGACGCCTGGCATCGGCTGAAAGCAATTCAACATGCGTTTCAAGGGAAACCAAAAGGACTGCCTTTGTTTGGGAGCCGCTGTATTGTGGCACTTATCATCACTTTCACACGAAGGTCGCACAAAAAATGCTTGCCTCCCCAAGCAACTAATTTGCCTCAAATCAGTGATCCCCGGCGGCCTTTTTGGAGATGGTCCAACTTGGAGAGTTCCCTAATGAGGACTTCCAATGCAGGAACATGATCTTCAATGATGCTTCTGAGAAATTTCGAGGTACGCATGACTCAAACCAGACAAGCCAAGAAGTGACAAAGTAAAGAGATAGCCCAGCAAAGACATTGCCAACGAAAGAGATAGCCAAGCAAGGGCAAAGCAAAGTAGAGAAATAGCAAAGCGAAGACGCATCAAAGCAAAGACATGACAAAGCAGAGGCATAGCAAAGCAAACGCATGGCCAAGCAAAGACATAGCAATGCAATGACACAGCCGAGTAGAGACATGGCAAAGCAACGACATAGCCAAACCAAGACATAGCAAAGCAAAGACATACCCAAACATAGCCAAGCGAAGGCATAGCAGAACAAAGACATAACAAATCACAGACATGGCAAAGAAAAGACATGGCCAAGCAAAGACTTAGCAAAGCAACAACACATCACAAAGACATAGCAGATCAACCCTCTGCGCACTTTTGGCTGGTCGACCTTCACCAACTCGTTTTTCCCCAACAGCTGAAAGCTTTGGGGTCTCAGCCCAGATAGGCTCCGGGGTGGTCCGGGGCGGCCCTGAGGTAAGGTTCCACGAGGGTTCCACCAGGGCTCCACGAGGTTCTGCAAGGGCTGCGGGGTGGTGCGAGCACCAAAAAGAGCACCGCAGGCTGTTGGGGATATCACCTGAGCTTTTGTTTTTTGGGATTTGCGATTTTGCAGTTGCCCGATCTTGAAACAGTGAACCCCCTGCGCACTTTCGGTTGGTTTCAAGTTGCCGCATCTTCACAATTGAACCTTCTGCACGCTTTCGGTTGGTCGACCTCAAAAAGAAATGTTAGTGCGGAGTGCCGGAGTCCTAGATAAATGACTTACAACTTTCGCTAAGGGTTTCTGGAACATACAGTGACATATAAGGAGGCGTTGTGGAAGTTGAAAGGTGCTTTCCGTGTGTTGTAAGTACTTTTTCAAGTATGCTATAAATTTCGTGACTTCCCAAATAAGTTCTGCAACTATGAATCGAGCTTCTTGTCAGTCCCTATGTTTGTTCAAAACCTTTGTTTTCGTTGGCTGCGTGAGAACGCCCCACTCCCAGTAATTCAATTTTCCTGCATAGTAGGTAACCAAGGGCCCCACATTTTCAAAAACCAGAAGGACAATGGCGGTTGCTATGGTGAAAACTGGGATCCCCTGGGACCACAAACCGTAGCTTCCCACATCTCGTGAAGCGATGAGTTACTTGTACCATCCCGCCTTCTCACTTCCAGCTCCTACGCGCTCACGAAGCAGACTGAACGCGTCCGGCTCTTGGGGACGTCATGGTTGATGTTGATTGGAAAGGGACCCAACAACAAGCTCAGGTGAATCCCGAATGTCTCACACTATGTAGAGGGTACATAGAAATATATCTCGAACCTCAAGCAGCAAGGACGATTGCTCGAAAGGAGCCTTTCACCCCAACTTCAACTTCCCTGGCTGAACAACTTGGCGTGTCCTTCGCATCATCCGAGTCGGTGTGCTTCATCCGGTCCTATGTTTCTCAAAGCTCTGTGAGTGATCAACATTTGCGGCTCGCAACTGCTTGACAGTTGGGCCTGTTCTTTTTGCGGGTACCCTTTTTGCGTGGTTGAAAAGGGACACCACAAGGAACGCTATCGTGTTGGTCCCCAAAAAGAAGAGCCAATGACCAACAGCAAATTGCAGGACGTGACCTGCGTCGTTCTGTTTACAATAGTTTACAAACGGGCCAAATTGACCGTTTCTCATAAACTCAGCTCGCAGGACTCGAGAAGACAAACCGCATCCTCGTCAGTGGGATCAGAACTGCTCGCCTGAGCTGCGATCATGCACCATTTGCATGGCGCAGTCACCCCAACATGACATGTTGGAAGGCAGCCTGCCATCAAAGGTGACCAACATGCATAAGTTGCTGCAAGCCAACCTGCTAGGACTCTGCATGTCATGCATGTTAAGCTCCAGCCTCTGAGCTCAACTGGGCCACACATGCAAAGGGAAGCGTGTCTTGCTTGCGCTCTCTGAGACAGGGGCTGCATTGAGCAGGGCCCCCGAAGCTCTTCCTCTTGCAAGTGCAGGACGCGAGGTGTCTGGAATCGGAGGTGTCTTATGGGGGTATCCTTTTCCGGTTGCAAAGGGAAACTCCGAGGAAGCCACTCATGTTTTGGGGCCCGGGGGGGGGGTACAGTACCCAACCATTTGGAGAACCCAGAAAACACCATCTCCGTCCTGTGGGCAAAGAAGAGCATGCCTTCACCTAGCACGAGTATTCAGGTCTCGATCTCGATCTTAACATTTTACCAATGCTTCCACCATATCTTGAGCAATTGATGTACGCAGGTGGGGCCTGAACATTTGCCATCGCCCTTGGAAAAGACAGCCCTGAGATTCTGCATGCCTCCACTTTGTTGCAACTTCCGCACGGTTGCAATTCTTTCTGCAGCCCGCACGCCTTCTTTGGGCATGCTGCGCAAAGAAGTTTTCTCTCATTCCTCTCATCATCCCCGACATATGTAGCCCGGTGTGTCCTCTTTGGCTGATATCAGCTGCACGTGTATGATCTTGAAGCATTGAAAGCGCCTCCATCGATCCAAATCAGCTTGGCCGGATGAAGCCGCGTCTAGTGGCCAACCGTGCACACATGCGGAACTTCTAGGTGTGTTTCCAGAAATTTGGGAATCCCCAAAACGAGCGGCTTCCTTGGTGTTTCTTTGATTTTTACCAAACAAGGGTTGCCGAACTTTGGAAACACCCGTACACACCAGTCAACAAAACACCTCAAGTGCAGCCAACACATCGCACAAAAACGGGCGTTGGCCCCACTCTTGCATCAGTATGTATGGGGATGCCTTTGGACTTTGTGGTGAGATGGTGAGATGCTTGGTCGATCAGTGTCCAACCAACCAAACCCGAAGCCACTGTCACAAGCAGGAAGCCCTGTGACCCAAGGCCAATTCGGCATGGCGATAAATCTATATATATAATATAATTATATATATATATATATACATGTCTTGATAATATTTGTACACGTGTATTGACAGCTCAGATGCAGCCTGGCCTTGCGAGGAGGGAGTCGACTTGCCCAGGTCCAAATGTTTCCAAACGGTTTCCTTTCCGAGAGGCGTGCTCCAAACCTCAGGTCGCCCTTTTTCAGAGCGAGCTCTTGGCTCCCGCAGACGGCTGTATGACCAAAGCAAGCCACTAGAGAACCGCAAAGGCAAAGGCTCTCAAGCATCTTGACACGTGGGTGCGTGTGTTTGCCGAGGGTATCCTTTTCAGCTTGGTTTAAGAGAAAAGGAAAACCACAATACATTTTGGGAGTCTCCTTTATGACTCATCACATTCACATCTTGTCCGCGAAGGGTAATCAATTCGCAGACAAGGCACGCCCTCCTCAAGTACCGCCTCTGAGCGTTCCACTGCCCTCAGAGTTGTTGCCCAAGCTGTTCATGGCGTGTGTCCCAAATGAGCCACTGTATAAACCTCCCATGAATCCCTGTGTCGTATCAAGTTGCTTACGTGCGAGCTTGCGCTTTCCTTACGCGACCCATGTTTCAGCTTACGCGGCAGTCAGCGAGCATGTCAAACTTACGCATCGCCTGCGCGTCAGCGATTTAAGCGTTTCCCCTCAAGAATGGCATGTGGATGACTCTGAGGAAGAAGATGAGGAAGAACTACCCTCACGAGTTTCAGCGGCGTTCTCACTGCAAGTCAAGAAACGGGTTACGCGGCAGCGGCATCCGTCTCGAGGGCTAGCGGGCAGCCGAGCTAAGCGAGCTTGCGCGAACCTTACGCGCCTGCTTACGTGAGCTTACGCGCCCGAGCTCCTTTAGCTTTCCTAACGGTTTCTCAAGCCTTTGTTTGTCCTAAGTAAAGGTTGCAACTGCACCGAGCATAAGCCCCAAGAGCTCCCAATCAAAGTTCTGCTGGCTTTGCTTGCTAATCATGCAGTCTTAGACGTCTTCCTGCAGCCGAAGTCTCCGGGCAAGTTGCCAAGCTCGACTAGGTTGCAACAGCACAAGCCACCAACAAACACGCAAGCACATGTGTGAAACAACTCTTCCGAGCATGCTTACAAAGCTTACCAAGCAATCACGAAGAAGAGCTTGCGCAGGTGCTTACGCAGCATGTTTCCCCAAAAAGTGCTTACGCCGGCTTTCGCCGTGCAGGGTTTTGCTTACGCCGGGCCTTGACAATATGACACAACTCTTGCTTGGGATGTAATGGGGGGCTTTTTAGAGCTGGTTGGTAATGGTCATTCTAACTTCCACACGGAGAACTTGCAAGAGCCATGACTGTGATAATTTGGAAAGTCGTCAAGCTTACTTGTCGCTATGCACCGTTTCACGGGCCATTTCGGCAACGGCCTTATGTAGCGCTGGTTGCCCAGGGTCCTTTTCCTTGCTTCTCATGAGCAATGTGGCTGAAGAAGCCCAATCGTTTTCGCAAATGAAAGCACAGTTGGTTGTGTCCAATGAGAGACCTCTTCCGGACGCCGTTTGGTCAACATTTCCTGAATGGTCAAGAATGACATGGGGACTCATTCCAAACAAGACTCACCAATTTTGCCATCTCCATTCCTGCCCCCACAACTTTGTTGCTTCGGTGGCGTTGGTGTTTTACCAGAATATGTATCACATACTATCTAGGTTTCTATAGATGTCATTTTGGCGAGCCCCGTTTGGCTAATTCGGAAGCCGCACATTTTGGTCCCTTCTTGAGACAAGCCATCGAGCTCACTATGGATTTTGGGCGCTCGAGGCTCGTTTTCCCTTGCGAAAGCAAGCAGGTGGCACTTGGACAGCCTTGCAAAGGGGAGTCCCAAAAATGACAGGTGCGAAAGGAAACCAACTGTTTTTGACACATCCCAATGCAACCCAATGGTGTTGATCAAAAAACAAATGCAAGATGCTTAGCAAGGAAAGCTCAAGTTGCCTCAGACCAACGGAAACGGAGGTAGCGAGTTTTCAGGATGTTAACACGCCGCATGCACAACAAGTGAGGCAACTCCTGTTTTGGGTGGGTTAAACGGACACATCTGAGAAACAAGTCCTTTGTGAGTGGATTGAAAAGCAGGAGCGCGTGACTTTCCCGCATTCAACAAGTTCCCGCAGAACGTCACGTTCGCCCACAGATCAGCAGTTGCCGCACAGGGGTATGGTTTTCAGGTGGGACTTGCCTGTTGCGCCGCGCAAATGTTTAGTTCTGCTCGGACCTTGGGTCCCGCGTGGTGCTGGCTCGTGGTAGGGGGGCAATGTGTCTTCTCTTTGTTGACCAGCAACACAGTTTAGGGTTGGCGAGTTTCGGGTTTCTGGGTAAGGGGGCAATGTGTCTTCTCTTGCTGACCAGCAACACAGTTTAGGATTGGGGGGGTTCGGGTTTCTGGGTGGGGGGGTAATGTGTCTTCTCGTCGTTGACCAGCAAAACAGGTTAGGGTTGGGGGGTGGGGGGGCAATGTGTCTTTTCTTTGTTGACCAGCGAAACAGTTTAGGGGTGGGGGGTTTCGGGTTCCTGGGTGGGGGGGCAATGTGTCTTCTCTTTGTTGACCAGCGAAACAGTTTAGGGGTGGGGGGTTTCGGGTTCCTGGGTGGGGGGGCAATGTGTCTGAATTCTATTTGTTGACCAGCAAAACAGTTTAGGGTTGGCGGGTTTCAGGTTTCTGGGTCAGGGGGCAATGTGTCTTCTCTTTGTTGACCAGCGAAACAGTTTAGGGGTGGGGGGTTTCGGGTTCCTGGGTGGGGGGGCAATGTGTCTTCTCTTTGTTGACCAGCGAAACAGTTTAGGGGTGGGGGGTTTCGGGTTCCTGGGTGGGGGGGCAATGTGTCTTAATTCTATTTGTTGACCAGCAAAACAGTTTAGGGTTGGCGGGTTTCAGGTTTCTGGGTCAGGGGGCAATGTGTCTTCTCTTTGTTGACCAGCGAAACAGTTTAGGGGTGGGGGGTTTCGGGTTCCTGGGTGGGGGGGCAATGTGTCTTCTCTTTGTTGACCAGCGAAACAGTTTAGGGGTGGGGGGTTTCGGGTTCCTGGGTGGGGGGGCAATGTGTCTTCTCTTTGTTGACCAGCAAAACAGTTTAGGGTTGGCGGGTTTCGGGTTTCTGAGTGGGGGGGGGCAATGTGTCTTTTCTTTGTTGACTAGGTTTCGGTTTCTGGCTGCGGGGGGTATGTGTCTTCTCTTTGTTGACCAGTTTAGGGTTGGGGGGTTTCGGGTTTCTGGGTGGGGGGGCAATGTGTCTTCTCTGTTTGACCAGCAACACAGTTTAGGGTTGGGGGGTTTCGGGTTTCTGGGTGGGGGGGTTATGTGTCTTCTCTGAAGAACAAAGCCGAGCTGGCAGCCTGCGTTTTGCGGCGGGGGGCGGGGGCGCGGGCAAACGTAGAGTTCTAGGCGAACAAGTTTCACTGCTGTTTTGGGGTGATTTGCAGAGGCCCAAAGTGAAACGCCTATTCCGCCTCCCCGTGCTGCGAGGCCGCTCTTCGCCGATCACCAGCTCAGTGTCGTGAAACTGCTGAAGGCTCGGACGGTGGCTAACCTGGAACTGAAAGAAACTCAAAGTTTGGCCGAGGCAAGTCTCATGGACTTCATTTTGGTTCTTTGAGTACTTCAGGAGGCCCTTGATTGACCAGGCAATATGAGTCAAAAAGATTTACCACCAACGTGTGATAGACGTTTAGGTTCTAAGACAGCTCTTGACATGTACCATTTTATATAGTGTTCAACGCTACCTACCTAAAGACAACTTGATCGGCATCGGCCCCGAATATGACAGTCAAATCAGCCCCAAAGGCAAACTTGTGACCCCTTAACGAGGAACTCAGCAAACGACTCCCCCAGGAATGCGGAAAGATTCGCCATCTGAATGGCCTTGTTAGCGGTGTGTGCTCATTCAAATCAGAACACACTCCTTACTCTTAACTAGACTTGGCCCAGCAAACAAAAAGACACTTGTAGGACTTTGACGTCAAGGCTCGGGAACTGCACAATCTGAAAACAAAACAAACAAACAAAAAAACAAGCACGCATGACGATCTTGCTCCAAGCGGCTGATGCCATGGCAAGCCTCGTTGCAAGTGCTTCAGCCGACGCAGGGCTTCAATGCACCCCAAGCTTTAGGAACTCAGCTTTGGGTGTGTCTCAAAATACACGGTGCCCCCAACAAGGGGCGCTTTTTCTTGGATGTGTTCCTTACAATCCCAAAATGGGTAGCAACACCGAGAAAAAGGCGCACTTTGTCCAAGATGCAGCGTGCCCCGCTGAAGGTCTTTGCGGAGCTCCTGAGCCATGGATGCGCTAAGGCAACGCTGTAAGGAGTCCAGCGGAGTCTTAAGCCAAGATTCTGCGTACAAGGCCGCCTCGACGCTGACCTCTACTGCACTTGTGCCCTCGTCCTGCACTTTGCACATCAAGTAGAAAGCAGCAGGCAGATGCTGACTTTCCGGATCCCTTTGATGCGTGTGCGTGTGTGTGTGTGTGTGTGTGTGTGTGTGTGTGTGTGTGTTCAAAGCCAACAAGCAACTACCATGGAGGGCCAAACTTACCATCCGACGCAGGCGAACACTTGCCGAACATCGCTGACATTCACTGAACTCAGGTCCACCACCGCGATGACACCGGTGCTGGGAAGCTCGCCTGTAGTTATGACTAGGGCCTCCACTCATGTCTCAGATTCAAAGTCTATCAAACTTCAAAGTATGAGCTTGTAGAGAATTGGGCCATCCCATCTGCAGAAGATAAAGTTCGACCGTTGCTCATCATACAAATGGACTTGCTTTGACACTTGCTGCGGTTGAGCTGCCGCACATGGCAGATGCTTGTTGCAAATCTCCCAAACCTGATCGGCTCGGAAAGTTACTGGCACACGAAGCATCTCAGCACGTTGTAGCCAAGACACTCAGAATCGACTGCCGCTTCAGCTCGTCGAGGCGAGTGCCGGATCTAGTAATGCCACAACGCATTTACTGCACAGCACATTGCTCCCTGCAGCCAAGAGACCCACGAAGCGCCCTGTCCTGATTGAAACGTCTATGTGCCAAAGGCTAAGTCAACCCCTCAGAGTGGTAAGCCTGTTCAAGGATTGCACATGTTTCCTGTCGGACTAGTTGTTCCGAAGGAAAACTGAAGCCGGAAACTGATACCGTACGGAGAGCCGAGCAAAGCTCTTGACAAAAGCCACGGTCAAAATCCTATGGGAAGCCATGGTTTCTTTGCTGGACTGTTCCAACATACCGGCACAGCAGCCAGATTAGACCATCACGTGTGACCTCCGGGTCTCCGGGTCCTTTGCTTGCCCAGCTCTCCACAGATCGTTGCCCATGCTCCGCGCCGCCCTTGGCGTTGGATGGCTTCCTCACGTAGCTTCTCGAAATGGTGGACCCCTTGGTATTCAAAGGAGTTTCCGGAAGGAGCCATGTTTCCCTTGGTGGAACCAGGCGGAACCCAATGCGGACATGTTGAGGCGACACCAAGCAGGACGTTGGACACCCGGCCTGCCAGGTGCGACAGCGCCTGAGTGCTTGAAGCTTTCGGAGCCCCCGAGGGAACATGCTGCGCCGCAGTCCTCGGGCCGAACGGGGCTCGGGAGGCCTCCCCAAGGACGAGGCAAAATTTGGGCGCATAGGGGAAGGGTAGGGCAATTCCATTTTCAATCCACCCTGAAACCGCTTCAATATGCGACTGGGATATCAAGTGGCTCACACCCGGAAACACACCCCTTGCGAAAACAGCATCAAGTACCCACTCGTGTTGTGATTGTTTGGGCAGTCCCTGGGTTTCCCTTCAGGGTGCGGTCTCAAGGTGTGTAGGTCCACTCTAAGAACATAAGAACCCATTTGGAGTCTGGAGGGAACCCTAGCTCCGTGAACACTTTGCTGAAACCAGCTGGGGAGCCTCCCAAGCTGGTTTCAGCGGCATGGCACTTCCAAAGGGACAAACATCTGCATGGTTTTCCTTTTGAGGCTTCCCTTCTCCCAAATCAGAATCGTCATAGTCAAATTTGGCTGTCGGTGGGTCCCCCAATCTCTCTCTCTCTCTCTCTCGCTCTATGAGCGCTGTTCTATCACCACACCCACACTTTAGCTGAGGCACCTTCGCTCTTCACAGCGGGAGCGCAAGGCCTGAGCCGGCGATGGGTGTTTAGCTGGCCCGGCTGTTTCCTGAAAGAGTGTAGAACCTATGGACCTGTGGTTTTCCTATGGACCTGTGGTTGTCTGTACTATTATTTTGTTCTAACAGTACACCATGAAAAGAAGAGGGGGACACGTCCAAGCAATTTTGGTAACTGTCAATATCACGGACTCAGGAACTGCCTCAAACTCTTCCTCATGCCCAGGACACAATCTTTCACGCGCAGGCAACGGGGATGTTTGTTTTTCAAGGTACCCTGTTGGCTAGAAGGGAAACCAAAACAAACCGCCCATTTGGGGGTTCCGGATTTTGCACATGACCTACCCAAATAATTGGCTGATCTTGTGAACACACACACACACACCCCTTCCTCAAAATGTAATTTCGATCCGAAACAGAGCCTGCCGCTTGAAACCCCTTTGAAGCAGTCAAAACGAGCGCTGTCCTGCATCAAGCCAGTACTTACTTACAGACATTTGAGGAATCGCATGGAAATGTGCCAAACCTTCCTTCTTTGGTGGTCAAAGGACACCGAGAAAGACAAAGGCATAAACGCCAACTATGCTGCAAAGCCCAATTTTAGACTCCTTTCTGGTGCCATGATGCCCCAATGTCCCTCCTTTTCTGGTCCATGGCAACTCCCACCCTGGGTGTGGCTCAACATTTCGGAGCCAGGGGGTTAGGGGGACCACAGAATTTCGGCTTCGGTCTAAGATCTCCATGGGTTCCGCCCTGGGGGACCTTTCTGAGCCACCCATCCCTCGCGCCGAGGCGCCAGTTGCATGAAAAGCCTTGCGAAGGCCAAGCGCTGCCTCTCCCCAGCGGAGAGGATGGTGCTCCAGTCTCGAACATCCTCAAAGCTGTCTTCGGAAGATTTGCGTGGGCCCCTTTTTGGGGTGGGTGAGGGGAACCAAAGAGAAACATGTTCTTTTTTTGGACGGGGTTCACCTACTTTGAGACACAAACAATTATTTATAAAACAGATTCTAACCAAATGGGTTGCTTTCGGATGAATCGGGAACCCGTGGAACGGGTTCCTGACTCTTGGCTGTAAAGATCAGTAGAGGAGATCCACCCCGTTAACACCTGACTGAACAGTGTTGATTGAACAGCACAGTTGCTTTGTTTCCATACAGGGAGGGTTGGGCAGGCAAAATGTTTAAACGGTTTTGCATGTCGCGAGCGTTCTAAACGTCCAAAAACACGAAGGTCGATTATTCAACGAAAACTGAAACAGATTGTTGAAACACCCGACATGTTTAGACATGGGTGATGATGGTGATGCTTGAAACAATTGAAGATGTTTAAACGTCCGCGCACGATTGAGAACGGGGGAGTGTTCAAAAACTCAGCCGTGCCCGCTGGGGTCCACCCCAATGCCCGGAAACAATCACCTTTGCATAATCGGAATCAAACTGTCAAAAGCAGCTGGCAAAGCACATCCAAAAGCAGAAGGCTTTTTACTCCACAGGGCTCAATGGTCCATCATAAACACTTCATGTTCAAGTGCCCTACCCAAAACAATTGAATGGCGCTTGATCTGTCGGAAGGGACTGCCTGCCAAGCATTCAACACACGCCTATGCCGATGCCTACAGTATGCGGGTCTCTATGCCACGCTACCACCCCATCTAAGCCATCGGATACCATGCGGGAAGACGGACGCGGCGTGCATGTCATGAAAATGACGCCCGCCATGCACGCTGTCGGCGGTTTGGCTTCAAAGTGCCGCTTGGAAGCAAGAACCTGACAAAAGGGTTGATGGGTTCTGCAAACGGGCTCCTTTCAGACGCTGCGCTACACACACATGATTGTCGTTTGGTGCAAGCGATCGAACCTGCCCAACGGTCCCCCTGGCTGTCGGGCACCAGAGCGCTCCTCCAGGCCCCACTTCCGCAACAAAGGGCCCAGCATGGCTCGCCTCAGAAAAAGTAAAAGTTTACATCCTGAACTCAAACGTGTATTCTCCATGCCAATGTGCATGCTGCATTTTGTGCAGAAGAACTGGGTTTACCGGTTTCTGCAACCCCTTCCGATCTGAGCCCAGGCGCTTCAGTGCCAAGGTGGTTTGCACCTGAAGCCCACTCCTCGCAGTCAGATTCGCTCCGGATGTGGGCGTGACTGTCTCTGTATCTTGCCTGAGGTTGACATGATAACCGTGGTTCCTGACCCTCACGTTTTCAAGGCGGTACAACAATGGCAAACCTCCGCGCCTTTGTGTGCCACTGCCGTGGCTAAGTTGGCCAAGTTGAGCCGGATAGATGACGGCCTGACGAGCCACCAGGGAGAGCCTACGTAATCTTTTTCAATCCATCTGCAACACCCATGCACAACACCAAGAAGTCAGGGCGTATTTGTCTCCTGTAAACATGCCCCAATGAAACTCAATCAAAGGCTACCGACAGGTAGGGAAATGTCGGAAAGGTGATATTTATTCGGAACCATGGAAGTGAACAGTTAGCTTTGGGTCCAAGGTTTTCTCCTTGACTCATGGGTCCAGTTCCATGGGTCGAAGGCCATTCAGACCGACAGCCGGGGCTTTTGCCCTGAAGGCCCAGCCTCCAGCAGGGTCCCCACGGGGAAGTAGGAGTTCCTAGTTTCGCTCTAAACATCAAGCCACTACAACGATAAGCATCCTGTGGCATGCTTTGTGTTGGCTTTGTTCTCCAAATGATGTTTGCGTCTCGCGCAACGATTGCTGTTCCAGTGTGGCCCTTGCTAACTCTGTCCCTCTATCCAAGAATCCAAGACAGAATTCGGGTATTTCTTTCCTAGATTCAAAAAGGAGCCCTTCTTGGGTGGTGGTTCAAGGGAAACCAAACCCAGCCGGTCCCTGAATTCAGCCAGGGCAGCGCTGGACCGAAAGAAGCCAAGGTGCTGCGGCAAAAAGATCACGTCGGCGCCAGGAGACTTTGCAACAGTGCCCTGGGCACAAAACGACATGTGCTTGAAGCAAAGCAATGGCGAAATGTCAAAGTGTGCAGTTACAAATGTGCATGTGTCTGCGCTCTTTTGTGTCTCTGTGTGTCTGTGCCTATACATTCTACGTGTGCGTGTGTGTGTGTGCATGCCCGTGTGTGCGTGCGCGCGCGCTGCCACGGGCACGGGCGTGCGTGCGTGAGTGGGTGTGTGTGTGTGTGTGCGTCTCACAGATTTTATATATATAATATTTAAATATATTATTGATAATAGGTGTATAAATAAATATAGTGTGGGTCTGTGTGCGCGCCTGTCTGTGTGTCGTATTTGCCTGTGAGGAGTGTGTGTGTGTGTGTGTTCAGCGCAAGTCGGCGTGAGCGCGTGCTCCGAGGATCTGGCTCTTGGGTGCGCGTGTGTGTGTGTGTGGTGTGTGTGTGTGTGTGTGTGTGTGTGTGTGTGTGTGTGTGTGTGTGTGTGTGTGTGTGTGTGTGTGTGTGTGTGTGTGTGTGTGTGTGTGTGTGTGTGTGTGTGTGTGTGTGTGTGTGTGTGTGTGTGTGTGTGTGTGTGTGTGTGTGTGTGTGTGTGTGTGTGTGTGTGTGTGTGTGTGTGTGTGTGTGTGTGTGTGTGTGTGTGTGTGTGTGTGTGTGTGTGTGTGTGTGTGTGTGTGTGTGTGTGTGTGTGTGTGTGTGTGTGTGTGTGTGTGTGTGTGTGTGTGTGTGTGTGTGTGTGTGTGTGTGTGTGTGTGTGTGTGTGTGTGTGTGTGTGTGTGTTGTGTGTGTGTTGTGTGTGTGTGTGTGTGTGTGCGCGTGCGTGTAAATGTGCGTCTGCGTGTGCGTGTGGGTGCGTGTGCGTGTACGTGCGCATGCGCGTGTGCATGTGCGTGCGCGTGTCCATGTCCGTGGGCGTGCGCGTGTGTGTAAGTGCGTCCGTATGTACATGCGCATTTTCTGCCTCTCCGTGTGTGTGTGTGTGTGTTTGTATGTGTGTGTGTGTGCGTTTGTGCGTGTCTGTGCGTGTGTGTGTGTGTGTGTGCCGGTTCGGAATAGCTCTTTGTGGGCCTCCCTGCTTTGCCTAAACTTGGCTGGACCAGCGATTGGCGGCAAACCAATCCATGCAAACACATCATTGATGTCCATCAGAGTAACTTATCACAACTCACAAACCGGGGAAACAATAGCAGCCCCTATAACAGGAGCTTTCACCATGGGAAAGGTGGCAAGGAGCCGACCGGCCCGGCCCGCCAAAGCTCAATGAACCTGAAACACTTGAAAGAAGCGGATTGAAAGCCTCGGCGCGTCCTCCACATATCTATTTACTGGCCTCGTACACACATGACTGTCCTTTGTGCAAACGATCTCAACCTGTTGTTTGGAACCAGTCTACCACCGGCCCCCTGATCATAGTAGGGGAGTCCCGCATAACCTCGATGATGGTGCCACCAGGGCGCCTCCCCACTGAGCCAAAGCCCGGCCAGTGACCGCAGAACTGAAGATTTGCCGATGCCTTCGTGCTAGTCAGATTCTGAATCCATGTGGAGTACAAGCAACTAACTACCCAGCCATGAACAGACTACCCTTTCTGATGAACTGGCTTCAGTGGTGGCTCCTTGGACGATGACCCCAAGCTGGATTTGACTGACATATTGTCTGACTTCGAACGCACGTGCCTGAGCCGCCAGTGATCAGAAGACCTGCAGTCCACGTCAACTTGCAGGACTGGTGGCAACCAAAAGGTTGCGTCTCAAAGCTAGTGCACCCCGAAAATGGTTTGCATTTGCCTTTGAAACCAACCAAAAGAAGCAAACCCTTATCCATCCCCTTGACATGTTGGGGTAGTTATAACAATCCTCTCAACAGCTAGATCCATCAGGCCTCTTGCCGCTGTTCAAAATCCGGATCGTTTTAAGGACGGTTGGGAAGAGAAACAACCTGATGAGCTACTCAGACTCCGTTCGACTTTTCTTTCCTGATCAACACCTGCTAGTGGTAGAGCATTAAGGATCAAACCCCTCAGTCGGGCCAACCAGGCACATCGCTCCCTACAGTTTTCCCATACTCGTCCCACTGAATAGAAACTCGTTGCACAAATTGGCCCTAAAGGGGATGCTTCTTACACAGGACAAAAAGACTCACGGGAGCCCTCATATCTCTCATTCCCACATCGTGCCTCCTCCAACGGCAACGGACAAAGTGACCTTGGCAGGTTCGCTCCCCGTCCGTCCGTTTCTTGCCCTAACTCGACGGCTCCTTTTGTCCAAGGGCCCTTTGACCATCTTGGCCTTTGCGCTGTTTTGTTGCTCAGGATGCCAAGGTCAAACCTTCAATTGGGGGAACTTGCAAACATAATCCCCTGCAATTTAAGGCGGAACCTAGAAAAACACGATGCTTAGAACACGGTCCTTTGGGGGTCCCATTTTGCGGGTGCCATTTTGGGGCTCTATGTCAGCTTGCTCTCACATTCCAATCTGCTGGATGCGTTCAAGGTGAAGCTAAGGATAGCGCGGGGCTCAGAGTGACAAGTCCCCACAACCGGATGGATTAAAGGCCCTCATGGGATGGCAGAATTGATTCGCTCCCCGTCTCTCCCTCTCTCCTTGCCAAAGTCCAAGCGCCTCCTTTGCCATGAAAGAGAGACACGTGTTAGTGATTCACACAGAGCGCTCCAAATCGAGGACCAGTCCTGCAATACAACATTTGAATATGGGTCCCGCTACACATATCAAATATGAATATACACATGACTACACAATACTACACATTGTGTGTCACCTGACCAACCACACGATGATCAAAACTCCTCGACTCTAAGCCACCACAGCCGGGTGCAGGACCAGACACGTATGCAGCCAGGCCACTCCAGCCACCGGAGTTTTCCCTCCGGGGGCGCACACGCAAAGGGCGTCGAAACCGAAGGCTTCGGATGGATCCTCGGGTCGATTTGAACTTTGGTTACACCCAAAGGTGGCGTGAAAAGCAGGGGTAAGCCCATAGTTGACGTTGAGCGCTGTATGTACGTACGTATGCATGCATGCATTGTATTGTATGCATGCGTGTATGTCGGTCTCTGTCTGTCTCTGTCTGTCTCTGTCTGTCTCTGTCTGTCTCTGTCTGTCTCTGTCTGTCTGTCCATGTCTGTGTCCGTGTCCGTCTGTATCTGTTTGTGGCTGCGTCTGCGTCTGCGTCTTCGTCTATGTCTGTGTCTGTGTCTGTGTCTCTGTCTGTCTATCTGTCTGGCTGTCTGTCTGTGTCTGTGTCCGTGTCCGTGTCCGTGTCCGTGTCCGTGTCCGTGTCAATGTCTGTCTGTCGTCTGCTTGTCTGTCTATGTGTTTACGTGTGTATGCGCGTATATGTCTATGTGTGTGTGTATCAGGTATGTAAGTGCATGTACATTGAGTATGTGCGTGCGTACATACGTACGTATGCATGCATGCATGTAGGGTAGACAGGTTTGCAACGCGATCCAAGCCACACTGGCCACGAACTCAATCGTGGAATTCGCCGGCGGGGTCAGGTTTGCCTGCGCAAAGAGCGCTTGCCCCGGACGCTAAGCGTTTACGTACCCTCCGTACAGTATTTTTTATCATATTTCATCAACTTTGGACCCCTCCAAACCCATCCCAAAAGGCACACTCTGATATCGGGAAACCCAAACAAAACACCCTGTGGCCTATATCTTAAGGAATGCAAGCTTGATTTGAGGACTCTTTGAAGGTAAGGAGGCGTGGTTTTGGTGTGTGCACGAATCCCATGACATCGCGAGAAAACAACGATTTCCTCAACCAGCCATCCCCATGGCCACCTGTATTACAATAAAGCATCGAAACAAAAAATATTGTAGCAGTTGGGTTTCTGCAGTTGGGTATCTGCTTGTGATATGGAAACCAAAAAGGACAACCACCAGTTTGGGTGCGTCTTCATTCGTTTTTCCGCATCCAGTTCTGTCCACGGGCCCATTCTTCGGCTCGCTCCTCGTCGCAGCCTTCCCAGAGCTGCCACAGCCGCTCACCGTTGGCCTGCCTGAGGAGTCGGAAGGGGGTTCAATGTGGCACATAAACATTTGTTCAGCTCTTTACTTGGCCCATGTGCGCAGAAAACCTGATGTTCAGATGCTGTTGCAGGTTTGGTCAACACAGCAAAATCAAAACGGTTTTGGATTCGAGGAGACCCCAGTTTTAAGGGACTGATTTCTAAGCTGCAAATCGAGATGATGAGACCGCACATTCCCAAGTCCGGGTAGCATATTAGTTGGCCGGTCGTTCTTTGAAGGTACCCTGTTAGAGTGGCTCTAAGCGGAAGCTAACAGGAACCGAAGCCCATTCTGGGAGCCACAAAACCAGCAGAATACGAAGCGTCGTTCAAAATATTCGCCCACAAAAAGCCGGACTCTCCAAAGATGCACAAGCTGAAACCTGACGACAGGCAACAGGTGCCCAAAGGCGGCCGCTGGCCAACACCCCCCCCTCCAATACGACAGAATTCACCAGGATGCAGTTGCTTCAGCTTGGAGAAGGACGTGGCAAAGAAGTCCATGACCTCTTTGCTTTCGACATGTTCCAGCAGCTGTTTGCTTTTCTGGCGGAAGAACAAACATCTGTCCAGCTATCATAGAAGCTGATTGAAAGGTTCTTTTCAAGACAACAGTTGCAGTCTTCTTGAAGAGGCCACCTGTCCACCATGATTGTTGGGGTATATTCATAGACGACATGCACTGCGTGCTCCAAAATATCGCTCTGCCAGCCGCACCTTGGCCACCTGCATGTAGCCAGTCTGGCATCGTACCGCATCACCGAAATTCAGCGAACCTGACAGCCAACTGCGTGCTGACTGCCATTATTGCATGTGCTGTGCCTGACAGAATCTGAGGAGCTTGGTAAAGCCAAAGTATCACCTCACTGCAGCAATCGTTGCAGAATGCTGCACTACGTGTAGAATAAATGCAAACCAAGCTGCAACCGGAAAGAAGTCAATAATTCCCAGGGTCGTGGTAAACAACATGTTGACAAGTGCCTCAGTCTGAGTCTCAAGACATACATTTAGCAATCTGGAATCCATGTCGATGTCTCTAGAGGTGCCCTCAAGCGTGATGCGGATGTTGGAGATATTCATGCACCCTCTAAAATGTAGATGCAAAGGGCACAAGCAGTCTCGGGCTTGCACACAATCAACCCCTGTACAAAATGTATGCACCTGCGTGCCTTGATGCAGGTGAGCTGCATTGTATCTGATTGCCTTAGAGTCAACGATGCTGTGGGCAGTTTCACTGCACATCTTGGACACACTCCAAAGGACATGAGCTGCAGTGTTTGAAAAAGGTGGCCCCTAACTGAATGAATTTGGGCAACCAAGTACTACTGGCAAACTTGGTGATGCCAATGTCATCCTGCCTAGACAGCAGCAGTGGTGAACATGGACCGTTGCTCACAGTGCGAATACATTGGGGGGGGGGGGGGGTGATGTCTCATTTTGGCTTGCGACCTCTCTTATGAAGCATCTCTCTGTGCCTACCTGGGCCCCCGCGTCAATGTGCATATTGAAGAGATTCTTGGAGCGCCCCTGCTCCGCCTGAGAATCAGATCCTCTTGTCGTGCCCCCCCACCTCAAAATAAGCCACTGTCTAGTGCGGTATCTAGAAGCCATTCGGCGGGTTACCAATCCGATGCTCTCTGGCCTGGTCCCCATGGGCCAAAGCGATTGGCTCTGCATTCTCACCTGCAGTCCAAAGCACGCAAAACAAGACTTTGGTGAAAAAGAAACTCAGGCCGCAGCGAATGCGGGTGAGCGAGTATCGAAACGTAGCTCCTTGAAACGACAAAGAACGTCAAAGCAGCTTGCCCAACGCCGCATGTATTTGTGCTTCTCGAAACTGTGGACCCTGTTGCCTAACATTTAACGGAAACAACAGGGAACTAACCATTCTAGCGGATCCCTGTTATTTGGATCCCTATTTTGAGACCCGCCTGTTTGCAGCTGATCTTTGAACGCATCCACCAAGGCGTTGCCGAACAAACCTCACATCCGAGCTTGTGTCAGGCGGCCGAGTGGCAAGCGTGCGACTGGGACACCCCATTTTTTCTCCAGGGATGCAAGGTATGAATCGACCGCCGTTGGGGGTTGATCTATATTCCGTTCAGCCCAAGTGACCATGGGGAACTTGTCCCCTTTAGTGGAAAGTAAAATCCTTTCGGGTGGTTTGCCTGAGGGTAATCCCATGTTCATGGTTTGACCAACCCCCAGTTGCAGCCACGATAAAGAAACCAGTTGGAAGGGGTACGACCAATTGATGGAACCTTTCAGGAATCCAACACCCCAATATCAACCATGTGCCCCTGCAGAAGGTGCCCCTACTCTCTCTCTCTCTCTCTCATAGTATATGTCCATGTATACTGCTAATATACCAAATGTATGTATACAATATGTGAATCATATATATATATATATATATACCACATATATATATATATATTCACAGTGCCTTTATCCAAAAGCACATAGGTGAGACATTTGGCATCAACTTGGCCTGGGCGCTTATGGATAGCATGAGCCGCAGAAAGGCCATGCCCACGCAAGTGGCAACCAGCATCCAGCCGCCCAGTTGGATCATAACCTGGGGATGGACCCGCGAAATCGGTGCGTGGTGGGTGCGGAAACCAAAAAGAAACCAAGCACGTTGCTTGCTGCTTCTCAGTTGGGAATGGGGGAACCAGCGGTCCCCTTAAAGGAAACCACATGGGAAGATTTATAGGGGTCATTCCCTCATTTCCTGCTGAGCACCAGCAAGTTTAGGGATTTGTCTTTGAGAAACACCCAAGCTTTCTGTACAAATTTGTCATGGGATGCAGTAGTTTGGTATCACGGAAAAGCCATGTTCGCCAAGAAAAAGGCCCTTTTGTGGGTCCAGCATTTTGAGGACCTCGACATAACATGGACGCCGGCCCTGTCAAGTAGTCCTGGCAATGTTCGGATGAGTGACAAACCATGTTATTCACTGAGGGCTCATGTAGTTGGTTCCCGCTGCCTGTTAAAGAAGACTAGGGGAAGTATAGCAGTGCTCCGTGTTCCAAGAAGCAGAAGCAATTTAGGGATGGTAAAGGACACCTTTACCTGCACTAGAAGATTTCTCATGCTGCAAACTAGCTTACGCCCAAAAGGATCCTAACAAACCTGAAAGGAAGGTTGCAGTTCAAATGAAACTTGTTTTTTTTGGGTTCCTTGTTCGACCAGGATAAGGTAGCCGGCGAAATGCCATGTAGGATAAGCAACGGGGATGACTGAACCATAGGGCATTGTGGCATCTGCAGGAAAGACTCAAGTGTGGGTGTGACTTTTTTAGAAGAAGCCCACCAAATGCAAATGGTAGTTCTCCTTTCGGTATCCCTTCAAACTGGAAACAAACAGGTAACCTCAAAAAAGGCGCACTCAAGTCATTTGCTGCATGTGTGGCAGCTGAGCATCCGGCTCCGGCCCAAGCAGCCATGCCAAACCTGCGCTCGAGTTAGCTTCTCCCTGCTCGGAGTTCTCCAAGATGGAATGCCGTGTTTTTTTCATGGGAAACCAACAAAGAAACCCAAACAAGTTGGATTTCCTGTTGTTTGACACATCGTCTGCCTCAAATGGCGGTCAAGATGTTTGCGGCCAGGTGACACGGCCGACAGGAATCCAGAGAATAACACGTACACCATGTTCGCGAACCTTAGCGAAGCCATGGACTATCATCGCTCTGAACTTGTCAAAGCACGCCGTTTTCCTCGGCATACAGATCCATCCGCCTCTTGATGCTGTAGGCATTAGGAACTAAAGCAAGTCCAAAATTATCGGCATGCTCTTTTCTGTCTCCATTGAAAACTCGTCCAGAAGGAGATCCCCCCCCTCCCCCCCCCACATGTCGCGATGTGTAGAAACCAGCGCCCTAGTTGGCAAGGAACCAACATGAGTCACCAAACCAATCGGAGGGGTACTGTACGCATGTGGACCCTGGATCAGTGAAGCTGGCGAAGCAGGCGGACTGGGAAGAATCGGCTCACCTCAGGAAAGGGTCTTAGAGCCTTCTGAGAGGGTCTGAGAGGTTCTGAGACCCTTGGGGCAACCTCCCAGCCTGGATTGCCGTTGCCCACCTGCCCATCCCAGGTTCAACGAACTGCTGGCTGGGCGCTGCTCCGCGGACTCGCTGATGCGCTGATCCGGATTGTCGATGTCCCGCTTCTCAGGGCTGAGTGGCAATCCACTTTCCAGTAGTCCAGTGGCCCACTTCGCAAAATGGGGTAGCAACTCAAACATGGGTGCCGCCGCCGAATTGCGTGCTTTCAGAGGCAAATCAAAGGAAAGCCAACATCTCCGGGTCATCATGGGTCATCATGGGTTATCTATTTCATTGTCGGCCGGCCCGCCCTTCTTGTCCAAAAGACCCCCCCTATAATGCCAGGAAATGATAACCAGGGTCATGTTCTTCAACCCCGACTGTCCTCAGTCTTGACACCATGCCCAAACAATTTAATTTGGAATGCCACGAAAGGAAAGACTGCAACGGTTGACTTCCAGCAGATTGCAAGTAAGCAAAAAAGGAAACGCCCTCTGCTTCACGATGGTTTGTGGTTCGAGTACTTGTAAGCCCCAACTTGGTGCCATTGTCTCAACATAGGCAGCCTGAATAGTTTCAAGAGCCACATACGCCAAGCGCCTGGTTCACGAACAAGTAATTTTGGGTGTGGGGCGGGGGCGATGACATAGGGAAAGTTATGCTTCCTCCCACACGGTGTTGTTTGTTCAGGCGCCCCATGTCCTCGCAAAGGCAGCAAACAAGCCACTAGTTTGCTCCTGAGACAAGATTGGAGGACCACTTTGCCCCTGCTGGCGCACGAAAAGGGGGGGGGTCATGTGTCCTCACCTCGTCATCCATCTTGAGCTTGTAATAGGCTTGCCCACCACCTCCAAAAGTCGCAGGACAGTTCCATGGCATTGCCCACTCCACTCATTGCGCCCTGAATGAGGGGGCTTACAGTTGAAGGTCCTGTGGGTACCCTTGAATGCTGGGTATTTCCAAGAATGCAGTCCTGGTTGTGCTGCACAGTCACACTCAGTGGACGACAAATGCCATGCCTCCAATATACGACGACAGCATGGCATGGGAGATGTAGCCTTGGTCGGCACATTGTGTGCCCAAATGATCAACCTCTTTTCGGGCTCTGTTTGACACTGCGTACAAAACGGTCACCATGGTGGCGCTGTGCTTGACAAAGCGACTTTGCAAAGACGATGAAAACCACCTGAGCTGCTTTGCCAAGTCGAGTCAGCTTGCATCAAGCCCGCACACGAAACCGCGATCAGTGTTCAGGCAAGCGGCGCTTGAATCATCGGATCCTTGTTGAATCACGGCAATCCAATGAGCGCAACTTTGAGACGCATAACTCGCATGCGCCAAACCATGGGCATTGGGTGATGAGTGGGCATGTGTGTGTGTGTGTGTGGCGTGTGTGGCGTGTGTCTGCGCATGCCTCACAATGCCAGGTTGGCGCAACACCCCCAGTGCAGCTAAGACACAAAAATGAGAAACACCGGAGCAGTGACAATTTGCCATGCAAGCATCGAAAAGCATCGGCTGTAAACCACAGATAGGTCCTGGGCTCAACATGATCCCTGCATGAGCAAGGAAGCAGGTTGACTTGAATCCCCAAGAACAACTCCTGCTGGTCAATCCAACCATAAAGCTTCGTCCAAGGGGCTTTTGATTTGGGAAGATCCACCACTGAATTTGTGAGGTCCGCAGTGAGGGATGACAGAAATTGCGCATACGTCCACTCTCGAATGAACCAGTGTAGTATGGTGAGGCAGCACAAGCTTCTAGCTACCCATTTATATGAACCACCAGAAAGCCATCCACGCGTGATGAAGTATATGCATTGAACTCCGGCGAGGTCTCTAATCAAGGCTGCCAGGGCAGAGTACCTGTCCTCAGAAGCCTTGGTCGCCTTTGCCACCTCACTGATTCGACATCGTTGCGCAATGTATTGCATCAGAAATGCAAAGCCCAAGTTGAGCGCGATCAGCATAGGCACCAGGCAAAGATTCGTGGAGAAGCTACTGCCTTCTGCAAATTTAAGAAATAGGTTGTCCGCCTTCATCGTCTTCATGGTGGCATTGAGCTGCAAGAGGCTGCTCTCATCGTGATGTCCAGCTTTGTCGAAGGCTGGGATCACGTAGTGCAGCAGCGGCGAGGAAATAGAATGGCCGACGTAAAAGGGCAGAATCATTGCAAGTCAAACTGCGATCTCATAAGCAAGCACGCAAATGCACTTGTGATGGCTCGAAATGTATAAACCAAACATGGGTGCGAATGGATTGCATGTGTATATTTGTGTCCATCCGCGATTGACTGGCAAGGCGCGGGGTTACGCCTGGTTTCGGTACCGCAAGGACTACGTTGAGCCAAATGCACATAACACGTTGACGGACATTTCCGCGAGCCATACGCTCGAACCTTGTGTCAGGCTCAGGCCCAGCCTTCGAAAAACCCTCTGCTTTCCAAAGGCACCCTGGCACAGCCAAGCTCACAGTGCCATGTTAGACCCCCAGTTGAGCGTATTTTTCTCATGGATTGATCTGCAAACTAGAACCTAGAACGTGGTCAAGAAGGTCCCTTGGATCTTGGTCGCAATGGACTGTGGGCAATGGGCTTTGTGTCCAAACTGCACACCTTCTTTTGAATCAAACAATGACCCCAACGTAACTTCCCAGCACACCAAACCTGAATAACACCAATCAACCTGCACCATGCCGAAGCAACCCCGAATGTGTTGCTTTGCAGTTGATACCCTCTGAAGGTCGGTTCAAAGGGAAACCGAAAGAAAAGCCACCAGTCTGGGCATCCAAACTAACACACATACACACACACACACACCTACATAATCATATATATTTATATATATATATATGTATGTCTCTCTATATATATATATGTATCTATATATATATATATATATCTATATATATATATGGTCACCCCCCCCAGGGCCTACCTTTGCCCTCTTCTAGTTGAAGGTGTTAACTCTACTCTATATATATATATGTCTATATATACATATGAATCATGAAGATGTAATAAATGTATATGTCAAGATGGGCACGCCCCGCAGGTTGGGTGAGTGCCTCGGCCTCGCTGGCCATGCTCGGCATCCTGGAGCTAGCAAGGCCTCAAACGGACGCCAAGAAAATACTCTCCAAGTTCCACATTTCTGGCGTTGGCCGTTGCATCCCCCTCCATTTCGAAGTGCACATTCTCTCCAACATGGGTTTTTGGTGCAAATAGATGCCCCTGGTAGATGATTAAACCACCAGGTAAACCAGGAATCGCCATCTATTTTTCGACCAAGACAACTGAAAGGGACACCTATGCCACTGGACAGCAGGAACACTTTGAGGCTGCGGCTGGGAAGGGTTGGCACCTCAAAACCTTCCTCCGCCGAAGCGCCGGCCTGCGAATGGGTGGCTCGGCTTTCTTTTTGATTTACGGACCCATCCTTTACCAAAAGGAGGCACCCACAAAAATACACTGGAAATCAATGATTCAGAAACCCTCAAACATCCAGAATGATGAACCCGCTTTTGAAATCGACGAAAAGAGGAACTCTCAAGAAGTGATCGACTAATACGCCATCCATGGCATAAAACAACCACCCACCAACCATGGTGGATGTGGACGGTGAAAGTCCTCCCCTCCGAAACGACAAACGGAAATCTGGTGGGATCCTTGACCAATCATAGGGCCGGGCCGCGCGCCTCAAAATAATTCGGCCTCCGAATTTCCCATAGCGCGCCTCAGGCACGCTCTGGAACGACGCGGTGCTGCGCCTCGTTCTCAAAGCGAGCGTGAGCGCTCATGTTTGTGCGCCGCACTAAAAAAGCATGAGGCGGCAACATCGGCGGCAAAGTTGCAGCGTCTCTGGCTGCATCTGTCTCAGTACGGCCTCAGTTCCACAAAGTTGGGAGACTCTACAAATGCTATCCGGTTCATCAGCATTGGAAAGTGGCCAAATCCCAATTGGACCTTTATAGATCCAGGGTTCCTGGTTTTGTCTCCTCTAAACATCACTCTTCCGAAAAGCCATATCCATCGCAATCAGACCAGAAGGTGATGTACCTCACCCGCAAGGGAAAATCGCGCCACCTGAGGTTGACCCAAGCATTACCCGTAACATTTCTGCCTTCTGTGGCAGTCCATAAGGCTCCGACAAAGCGACCGCAATTCACGCGCTGTAGCCTTAAGCTCAGCCGTAGCCTGTGCCAGCGTGCGGAGTGTGGAAACGTCTGTGGATTCACAATTGCGAATTGGAGTGGTGATTGGTGTCCTTTGGGGTGTCCAATCAATTATGGTGGTCAGCGCCAGTTGAACGGGTAACTGGGGGGGGGCTCTTCCACTCACTGCACAGTAAATGATCAAACTCATGCCAACCAACTATTCCACTAACAAATACTAATGTTATTGATCTTCCTTCCCTTTCTGGGTGCCTGATGCTTGGCTTTGGCGTTTGGGACACGGACGTCCGTTCCGCGCATCGCCGATCACAGCCGTCCTCAGAGACTTCTTGCTGAAGAGTGTGCCGCAGCTCAGAGGCCACCAGCTCCTTGTACTCCCTCAAGTGGGCCTCAGGCTTCTAAGGTCAGTGATTATATTAAGAGCCTCAGATCCATGGGGTTTAGACCTTACCTCAATTTATCTCAAATTATCTCAAATTATCTCAAATTATCTTATTGTTGCATCTAATGTGCAAAAAGATGCAAAAAAATGCAAAAAGATGCAAAAAAATGCAAAAAGATGCAAAAAAGTGCAAAAACATGCAAAAAAGTGCAAAAAAATGCAAAAAAGTGCAAAAAAAACAGAATGCAACAAAATGCCAAAAAAACTGCAACAACATGCAAAAAAATGCAACAAAATACAAAAAATACAAAAAGAGTGCAAAAACAATGCAAACATACATGACACAAATGCAAACAAGGACAAACACATGCAAGAACATACAACATGCATTAAGTGTGTGTCACTCAATTCTATAATAATGATTATTTTTTTATTGTTGCATCAGTGAGTCGCAAGTCATCATGAGCGCACGTTAGCGCCAGCAACGTTGGACCATTCCATTGTCCATCATCATTATTCATTCTTGACGTCGCTGGCGAGCCAGCTCAAAAAAATACTCTGCCATGATCCAAGTCAAGCGCTTTCAATAACTTGTGGCAAGGACAGCTGCACGGATCATCATCATCATCTTCACAGATCGTTGGACTGGGGTATTCTTGCACATAAGTCGAATCAAAGTTCGAGCAATGGGAGCAATGCATTGTCTTGCGATTGTCGTTGATGATCATGAGCACTGCGCCACGCATGCCAGTAACAAAGGTCACAGGTTCCCGATTGACGTTCAGCTGACTCGGCAACTGAACAAACGCTTCATGTCCAACCCACATAATAGTCACACCAGGACGACAACACATGTTGCGCCGGTCACCGGTCCTGAAATCTGTCAGAATAGATTCTGCAAGAAATTCTGGGCAAGGTTCACGTTCCAGTTCCGAGTCCAGCTCCGATAAATCTGACTGCTCGACGTCGTCATTGTCATTCCCCTGCTGAAGCTCCGGCTCAGTCATTTCAACTCCCCAGTCCCGTGGCTGAGCGTCAGTCCAGTCAGGCTGAGGACTCAGACACACTGTCGCACTGGCTTCAACTTCTGATTCTGAAGATTCAGTGTGACACACTGTCTGACTTGCAGGAGAATATGTCACTGTCCGACGCTTCTTATCAGCAGGCAAGCCAGTTGACATGAGGCTTCAATGTCAATGGTTCACAAAATCTCAATCAAGCACGTTGAGTCAACTGCTACTGACAGGCTTGAGCCGCAAAACCGCATCTCAAGCATGACTGGAATGTTTGCAGCCTGAACATGGCTCATGCTTCATGTCATTCATGATGGCATGTGCGCGCACGGCTGTTGCCATAAACTCAAATGAAGTCAGGATATTTATAGAGCGACAACTTGTTTCTTCCTCTTGTTCCATTGACTGCTGGGCCTCAAGTGAGCTTCCGCACTCACGCATCTAAACTCACTTGCGCAGCCCTGTTGCTGTTTTCCAAAGTCGCACACAGTCGAGTCAAGCAGTTCGCCCAACAGTTAAAAGTTGCAGCTCCGCTCTGTACTGGAGCAACACACTGCTTGTCTATTATTGGCTGAAGATCAATCCAGCACGAGGCCATGACGCATTGAATATGCACGAGCAAGCTTGTGACAGGCACATGAACACTGAGGGCCACAATGGTGCGCTAAGCCGCACGCAGAGCACCAAAGAACACGATCTCGCGCAGCCAAAGTAATAGTTCCAGCCCTGGCAGTAAAAAACCACACCTTTTTATGCATCGATGTGCTGTAGCTCACGGGCATCCGAACAAACCAGTCACCTTCGATGAACTTGAACTTGCGATCGGCAGTTGGTAAGGGCATCTGCATCTGGTCAGCAAGCACTTCTTGAAGCACCACTGGGCGCAGATCTCCCGTGTCTGGAGTCGAAGAGCGTGGTCGTTTTTTTGTGGGAATCACATTTTGGGGTCCACTCAAGGTGCCCTCCTGGCATGTGGCCTCCTGGTGTTCCTCATCATCAATGGCAGTGTCATTGGCCATGTTGTTTGTGCACGGCGACGCAGACTCAATAAGTATAGTAGCAAAACTACCAGCATCCTCACATTTCCATAGCTTCTGCCTTAGATAGTGTGCGCCCGAACCCCGCACCATCACTTTGCCTAAATTGATGACAGCAACACCTAATGCATACAATCATTATTAAGCCCAGCAGCGACATTGCGAGTTTAGCAAAAGTGGGAAGCACTTGAATCTGCGCTTTCAACTGACAGCACTTGAACCGAACCGCCACAACTTGTTTTGCCACAAGCAATTCCCGTACACAAGTGCAAGCAGGCCAATGACATGATGAGATACTTTGCACTCAGCACACCAGAGGTTCTCGCTATTTTATCAAGTCGTGCGCAACTCGCAAACGAGCAAAGAATTATGCCTTCTGTCTACAGCCACATGTTTTGGAAGACTGGATCCAGTCCTTAACCTGTAGCTCAGTCATTATAGCGCTTGTCCTCCTCAATTGGCCTTTTGATGGCCACTCGCCTGGCAGAGCGCCACCACAGCACAGAACTAAGACTTCAAGACTATTATTACGCACACACACACACAAAGAATGGTCATTATGATTTGCCCGCCTTTCTCCCAGTCGTAGCACCTCATGATCCAG